CAGCGTCCACGCACGCCATTCAGTAGTGCAGCGAGGCGATGCTGAAAGTATTCGACATGCGCTTGCCTCTCTCTTTCTCCAGGAATACCGCGCTGGCCTACCTTGCAGCGTCCAACTTCTTCGATGTCTTGTCGGAATTTGGCGAGCTTGATGCAGAGGTGGGTGGGTCAGTGCGAATCCTTTTGCCTGTGTGCTGTACTGCGATCTGACTTTGGCGCCTTTTTGCACCTCCCCAGATCTCTTCGAAGCTCAAGTATGCGAAATGGAGGGCAGGCGAGATCTCCAAAGCTATCAGAGAAGGCAGACAACCTGCACCTCCACCAGCAGCAGAGATAGAACAGGACACAGATGCAAAGCTTGCCCAACTTGATCTGCTCGGCGTCGGTCTTGGAGCGCAAGCGGGCGCAGTTGGTCAGGAAGAGAAAGAGTACTTGGAAAGAGAGATGAGAAAGTTGGAAGGTGATGCAGGTGTCGACGTTCCTTCTGCTCCTGCATTCAGCGTAGACCCTGGTCAAGGGCCGACAGCCATTAGCCCAGATGAAGGAATGGATGCACTTTCGCTTGCTGGAGCAGCTACTGCTCCGAGAGGCGGTGCACCGCTCACTCCCAACAAGGGCGGAAGAGCTCATAGTCGTCTGAGTGTAGATGCTCGAAGCATGAACATTGGGCCTTTTATCTCACCCAACGCTGGAGAAGGAGCGGCCAGGCTTGCACCGCCCGATTTTGCAGCTCAAGGTCTAGGATCCAGTCCCAACTTTAGCAAACCGATGCGAAGTCAATTGTCGAGGAGCGGAAGTGGAGAAGATGTGGAAGATGCAGCTTCCACTTCTCCTCACTTGTCCCCCAATCTTGGGCACTCGAGAAGATCTGCATCGGAGTACGTGGGAAGCGCTTCGAATGAAGGGGCATCGGAAGACGTGTTTGGTCGTCGATCTCTCTCGCCCTCCTTGTCTGGCCAACCAGCTTCCAGACCTTCTTCAGCTTTCTTGTCCTTTCCCAGCCATCAAGGGCCAGGTCCTGCTGGTTCGGGGAGTGTGAGTCCGGGATCAAGACCTTTGCCCATGCCTCCCGGCTTCAACCCC